AATATATTCATATTTATGTATTTAACGCCCTCTTATGGATATATATATGTTAAATTTTAAAATTGAAAAATAAAATTTGAATCGTAATTAATAAGCTTGAATTATAATTATTCAATCTCAATATTTTAATTAATAAAAAAACTGATTTATGTAGATTAAAAAAAAGTATTTCTGATAATTAATTTTAAAGAAAGATTATATAATCAAATTTTGATTGATTATAATTAATTTCTTTTTAGCTATTATAATATTTAAGTTGGATTCGAAAGGGTCAAACATTCTCCATGAGAATGAGAAGATATTTGAGAATCATCTATTTAATTTTGATTTTATTGTCAAGATTATTTATAATTTTTAACTTTAATTTGAAAGAATATATTTGAGAATCATCTATTTAATTTTGAGTTTATTTTTTTATAATTATGTGATAAAATATTTTTACTTTGAAAATTTGAACTCAGTTGTTCTAATTTATTTTACTAATAATGTAATATTACTTAATTAATTTATATTATTTATTGATTTATTAAATTGAAATGAAAATATATAGTATATTCTCAAAATATTATTTACTTCCATATTTATAAATATCAGTTTTATTTTTTTATAAATAAAATTAATATAGTATATTTTCAAAATCTTATTTACACAAATTTTTTATAGTATCAATTTATAATATATATGATGATAAAGGTGAAACATCTAAAATATAATAATATATAATTGCAATTAAGTTTAAATACTTTGAATTGGTTTATAGGTGTCTAAATAACTTAGTTATACTAAAGTCACAATTAATGGTAGTTTTGTTTTGCCACCACATCTTTTGCGGCAATAGTAATATATAGCACTTTTAGCAGATTTGTGCTGTAAATACTGATATCCCAAATATTCTGTAGTCTTTATTTTTTATTGTTTTCTAAAAAAAATTTAAATGTAAATAAAATTTTCATATCTATATATTATACATACTTTAATATCTAATTTCCTAAGCTTAAGTAATTTATTTATGTTTTCTGCTACGGTTTCTTCATTTTTTTAAAATAAACATTAGTAGCTATCTTTGGGATTAATTGGAAACGTCCCCTTTTTTAGCGATTTTTTGTTTAGCGATTTAGAACCGATCCTGTCATACCCAGTATATGAAACGATGCAAAAAAAACATAAAAATAATTCTTAAAATATATGTAATTTATTTATTGAATTTTTATACACTGATTGTTTTTTTATATAGTACTCAAAAAATGTATTATTTTGCCCCGGATTTTTGTTCCTAATTAAGGGGGGGGGGGGCGGGCATGATGTAATTTTGTAATATTTTTATTTTTGGGGTTTATTGATCATTATGTATATTGTTTTGAAGGATACATTTGATATATAAATATGTGTGTGTGAAAAATAAGAAAATTATATTCGTATTAATTTTAATTTTAAAAAATAATTAATTTTAATTTTAAAAAATAATTAATTTTGATGTTTTTTTCGAAAAATATTTTTATTTTTTAAATATATTGAAGCTTATAAATAAAATTTTTGCAACGACTTTGTTATATAAATATCCATAGAAAAATAATTCTTAGTTTTTCAGTTCTTTGTGTTTCACAGTGACAGTTTCCAATAATTTATATTTCACAGTGTGTTGGTTCGCTACAGTGATAGCCTAGATAAACGCCTGAGCGTCGGTGGCTATGTCCTTATTTAATTGGGTAAAATGGAATTATTTATCACTTTTAATTATAAATTATCAATTATTTATAACTTTTATCCTCAACAAACTAATTACATTCTATTTGCTTAGCATTATATTTTATTTGTACTAATTAAGTTTTATTAAATAAATTTAAATTATAATTTTTTTTAAAAAAAAATAATACAGTAAAACACCATTGCAAAATAAAACAAAAATAATCTTTATTTTATTATAAAAATATAAGTCTTGACTAAATTTTAAATAGAATGATGGCATTTGTGATGGGTAAGTTGTGTTTAATTATAAGTTATGAAATAACCTAAATTATGATAATCAATATCAAAAAGCTACAATATCAAATGTTCTACAAATCTCTAATAATTCTAAAAATTATTTATATACAGCGTGAATAAAACACGTCCCCAAATTTTATACAACAATATTCTCGCGGATGCACCAATATTTTGGCGAAAATGTGAGAACTTCCTAGACTTGCTAATTTAAGAATTACTTTGTATACCTGCAACCAGTAACCCTGAAACAATTTTATATAAATGCTAAAAGAAAATTTTATGCTTCCCCAGTCTCTTATAAAATAATATTTACATAACAAATATTATTTACCAAATTAAGATTTCTTATTTATATAAATCTCTTATTTTTTGTTTCTTTAAGCCTTAATTATTATTACAATCAAAAAGATTTTTTAATTACATTTTATTATATGCCCATATCAAATTTTTTTACAGAAACACTAGGAAAATTTTCTCCTCTTTGGTCACAGGACTTTAAAATATTCTTACCATATCGTGATATATTAACAACTTGAGGTTGGAATATATTATTCAATTTAATTCGGCTCTTCCTAAACTATGTAATTTCATGAGTATGATTTTGATCAAATCTCTTCTCTTAGGTTAGGATCAAATATAAGGGGTAGATATGGTACATCAAATAATTAGGAATATTCATGTTTGATATATTTTCTTTGTACTAATTAAGTTTTATTAAATAAATTTAAATTATAATTTTATTAAAAAAAAATAATACAGTAAAACACCATTGCAAAATAAAACAAAAATAATCTTTATTTTATTATAAAAATATAATTCTTGACTAAATTTTAAATAGAATGATGGCATTTGTGATGGGTAAGTTGTGTTTAATTATAAGGTATGAAATAACCTAAATTATGATGATCAATATCAAAAAGCTACAATATCAAATGTTCTACAAATCACTAATAATTCTAAAAATTATTTATATACAGCGTGAATAAAACACATCCCCAAATTTTATACAACAATATCTCGGATGCACCAATATTTTGGCGAAAATTTGAGAACTTCCTAGACTTGCTAATTTAAGAATTTACTTTGTATACCTGCAACCAGTAACCCTCAAATATTTTTTTCCATAAATGCTAAAAGAAAATTTTATGCTTCCCCAGTCTCTTATAAAATAATATTTACATAACAAATATTATTTAACTAAATTAAGATTTCTTATTTATATAAATCTCTTATTTTTCGTTTCTTTAAGCCTTAATTATTATTACTACAATCAAAAAGATTTTTTAATTACATTTTATTATATGCCCATATTAAATTTTTTTACAGAAACACTAGGAAAATTTTCTTCTCTTTGGTCACAAGGCTTTAAAATATTCTTACCATATCGTGATATATTAACAACTTGAGGTTGGAATATATTAGATAATTCAATTTAATTCGGCTCTTCCTAAATTATGTAATTTCATGAGTATGATTTTGATCAAATCTCTTCTTGTAGGTTTGGATCAAATATAAGGGGTAGATATGGTACATCAAATAACTAGGAATATTCATGTTTGATATGTTTATTTGAGTCAAGTAAATATGTGAATTACATTTTATCTGCCCTCTTCTTATTTTTTATCACGCTTAATATATCATCTAAAATAATTACAATACAATGTTAATCATTTTTAGTTAGCCTTAATAAAACAAAACTATTAAGTCAATGTGTATTATAATAATGTAAGAAGAAAGAAACGATAATAAAATTTGTCCGTAGGAAATGCGTTACTTTATGTTAAAATTAAAGATTTTTTTATATTATATTTTCATTTTTATCGAAAACGCGGTTAAATTAAGATTATTATTAATTTTCGTTTTTATCGAAAACGTGATACTTTAACATCCCAATTAATAATTGAGACAGTGGCTCCTGTATCAATTAAGAATTTTAAAAGAAAAAAATAAAGTGAATCCCAAAAAAAATAATCAATCCCATTTTTCTCCCACATAGTTAATAACTACCGATCCCTTGTTAAACTTAATAGTAGCCTCCGTTTATAAAATTTTTTTTCAAATTTGTAAAGAGTTTACAACGAAAATAATAAATTTTCTTTTAGCGAGTGCAGTGACGATAAACTGATTGCTTATTTGAAATTTTTTCATATGGAGAGGAAAAATTTCTATCTCTTTGATTTAGTGGGAAATTAAAGTTGTGAATATTTTTCTACTCAAAACATTTGCAGAATATCAATTATTCACCATCTTCATTCACATATATCGTAGCAATAAAAGCTTGGCTAAGCAATATTTAAGTTGGCCAAAATTAATTTACAAAATTTTATTGAATAATAAATCTATAGGGGAAATTGACTTATATAAAGTAATTATAGAACGGTTTCTAAGATACGACTGGGATTATACATCTGAAAATTGTAAAAGCTGAGAGATAATATATTTGGATGTGAAATCAGTATACTTATATTTAGATGTGAAGTGAAATCGAAAGTCTATTTATGTTTAGATTTTGTTTGCTCATTATTTTGTGCGAATTTTATGATTATGTGTATATTTATTATATAAAATGATTATAATATTACGAGATGACTATATTAATGTTCCTTCTCAATATTGTAAATGTTTAGTCTATTTTCATTCCAAATATCCTAACCACATTTGGATCGAAGGCTCAGAAATAAAATATTTGTTCAATTTGATTTTAATTTCTAAAGCAGTTTATAATATATTATTTTTTAAATTTAAACCAATTTATTTCAAAATTCCACCTTTCTTAAAATCAAAATGGTAGAATCAGGAGATATAAATTAGTGTTTTTACTTCTGCCAAAATAAAAGGCAAGGGATTAGGCTAATTTCTTATCAAATCCCTCAATGGATATCCCCCGTATACCAAATTTTACAAATTTAACTACATATATTTAAATTTATTTATATTAATAAAAAAAATCGATTTATTACATTTATCAAGGTGATTGAATGTCAGTAATGATTCATGTCACTCATTGATATATTTCTTATAAATTTAATTAATCCATTTATAACACATGGATATTAAGGCCGCTCCCCCAAGTCCAACTCAAATTATTAAATCGCCGGGTGGACCCATCATTCCTAAACCCGTAAAATTTTTAATAGGAGGCACAGCTGGGTTTAAAATACAACTATAAATATTTTATTTAAAAATATTTACAGCATGTCAGCCACTCTTTTTGTACACCCTTTGGATTTGGTAAAAAATAGAATGCAGTTAAGCGGTATTTTATTAATAAAACAATGTTAATTTAGTACAAATCTTCATAGGAGAAGGTGGGCAAAAACGTTTATACTCATCAACATTTAATACTTTCCAACAAATTGCAAGACAGGAAGGAATTTTAAAACTATACAGTGGGTAATTTTAAATTATAGAAATATTGTGATTATATTATTATATTTAGATTATCTGCTGGATTACTTAGACAAGCAACATACACAACTGTTAGATTAGGTGTTTATACCTTATTATTTGAAAAATTTTCCAAGTTTCTATTTGATTTATAATGCTTAATTAAAATTCATTAAAAGGGATGGGAAACCTCCCAATTTTGCTGAGAAAACGGCTATAGCAATGACAGCTGGTGCAATTGGGGCCTTCTTTGGAAATCCGGCAGAAATATCTTTAATTAGAATGTGTGCTGATGGAAGATTACCAATAGCTGAAAGGAGAGGTTATAAAAGTGTCATTGATGCCTTAGTTAGAATGGCTAAAGAAGAAGGAATATTAACTTTATGGAGGGTATATTTATAAATATATAATTTGTCTATCTTAAATTTATTTTTATTACTCTCTACAATTTTTTTAAATAAATGCCCTACAATCATCTTAGAACGTTACATAAAAATATGTTTAAACTAACAAAAATAAAAATATAATAACTTTGGAGTTGTGTTCAAAACTATTTTAAATTTTTTTTTACAAGTTTAAAATGTATGCAAATTTTATTAAAATGCAAGTTAAATTTTTGAAATTTATAAAATTTTATAGAATTATGTTTTAGACATGTTTTTATTAATAGCTTATTTTTTTCATTTAAGTTTCAAAAGTTTATAAAAAATTTTATGATGTTTTGAAAACATCCTAAAAAAAATAACTGTTGTAATTAGCAAGCTGGTCAATTGACCAGTCAAAAGTTGAATCAGTAGTTTAAATAAACATACCAAATGCAGTAATGCAGTAACATCTACTTGAGTGCAATTAAATGAGGTGGGCTTATTCAATATAATGTATGCAACAAATACAAATTTGCAAAAGAGCTTTAAAAGCATCCATTGTTAAAAAAATTATTTGTGATATATGCCTAAGAGAATTAAGTTGTTCTATCAGTGGTTTTAGATTATACATTCTAAAGACTCAAAAGTGACTTTATATCAAATAAATACCATGAATATTTATATTTTTCTGGTTTTGATGTTTGTGGAAGGATGTTATATTACTATTGAAATTATTCTGGATAGTATTATTATAAAGTCATTCTTCCTAATTATAATAACATATTATTGATGTATTTAAAAAATATATTTATTATATATAGTTCTAGGACTTTTATATTATAAGAAAAACAAAGATGATTTTTGTTAAATGGGGGTCTGGGGGCGAAGATCCCCCCCCCCCCCCATAGGCTTTTATATGTATGGACCTCCTCTAAGGAAAATTCCTAGCTATGCCACTGGATCATATAGATTGGATTTAAATTTTAAAGTTTTTAAATATACTTAACTGCTAGCTATATCATTGTTGAAAATTCAAGGGGACAAATGCACTTTATCCCAAGTAAAAAATTGATATGTTCTTTGGAACAACAATTATTCAATCATGCCAAGTTCCAATTATATCTCGATCAGAAGAAAATTATTTTATAAATATGTTTTAAGAAAAAAATGATATAAATACTGTTGCGAATTCAAATTGTGAATTCAAATCTAACCTTTTATTTTTATATTACATTTTATGAATTCAAATTTATCTTTTCAATTTAACTTTTTATTTTTGTAATTCAACTTATATTACTTATTATTTTTAGTAACCTTACTTTTTGTTTTTATATATATTCTAATTTATATTTTAGAAAATGTATATATACCTTAAGAAAAGAAAAAGAAATTAGTTAATAAAATATATTTTTTATTTAATAAAGTTAATAAAACATATTTATTATTCACCGGCACATATTCATGTTATTCTACATGGTGCCCCATGCAAAGAATAAGGCAACTAACGATATAGCGCGAGGTTCGAGTCAGTAAAAATATATTTTATTAACTAATTTCTTTTTCTTTTCTTAAGGTATATATACATTTTTATAAGTCCAAATTAGAATACAAACGAAAAACAAAAAAGTAAAAATATTATAAAATATAAAAAGTAAGGTTACGCCGAAAGTTATAAAATTAAATTACAAAAAATAATAAAAATTAGATTGCAAAAAATTCAAATGCAAAAAACAAAAAGAATTAGATTATAACGTAACATTCTCTTTCTTCTGATAATTACATCGGAGAAGTCACAGAGAGTTTGTTGTCCAAGTGGTTTATCGTTTTGGTTGTCAATGTTGCATAAGTCACTAATCGTTGGCTTGTCCAATGAATATGTGCCGGTGAATAATAAATATGTTTTATTATCTTTATTAAATAAAAAATATATTTTATTAACTAATTTCTTTTTCTTTTCTTAAGGTATATATACATTTTCTAAAATATAAATTAGAATATATATAAAAACAAAAAGTAAGGTTACTAAAAATAATAAGTAATATAAGTTGAATTACAAAAATAAAAAGTTAAATTGAAAAGATAAATTTGAATTCATAAAATGTAATATAAAAATAAAAGGTTAGATTTGAATTCACAATTTGAATTCGCAACATTCTCCCTCTTCTGATAATTTCATCGGAGAAGACACAGAGAGTTTGTTGTCCAAGTGGTTTAGCTTTTTGGTAATCAAGTTGTATCACAAATCATCATAACGTTGGCTTGTCCCAATCGTTGGTTTGATCAATTCGATTTTGCACGTTGGTTTGTTTAATCACAAGCTTGATATCCATATCGTAAATTGTCTCCATTAATCATAGCTTGTTTGATAGTACTCAATTGTTATTATCATTTTTCCAAAATTGTTATTATCATAAATAAGTTGCGAATAAGAAATAATAGTTCATCATAAGAATAAATGAAGAATGATAAATCAATAAGATTGTTATATTTTTAGCGTTTTAATTTTTTGTGTTTTAATATGAGCGTTTTAATTTTTAATTTAGTTTATACAATTTAATATTTATTTTATATTTTAAGTTACATAGTCTTTTAAATAAGCAGGTTTTTTTTTAATTCGCACAGGTCTAGAGATAGGTGTTATATCGTTATTATCAGTAATTTTTATATTTTTGTCCATACTTCCCTCCTTAAAAGAATCCTTAGAGTCATAGTTAATAATTGTGTTAAAACAGTTTCTAATTCTTATTTGATCTAAATGTCTCCTCAAAATACCTTTCTCAGTCTTAATTTGGAACATCATATCACTTTCTTTATGTGTGATAATACCTTTGCACCATTTATCATCACCTTGTAATTTATACCAAACAAAATCTCCTACGTTAAAAGTTCTATTTCGTGGTAAAGTAACGTTTATCCTTCTCCTCCATCGGTTTTAATAAGTCCCGTTTAACTCTAATATCTCGATTAAACATTCTCTGTGATGGTGTAACTCCTGTAGTATCATTACGCGTATTTCTGTAATTAAGTAAAAATTTGCTAAGTGCGATATCTGGGTCTATTTTAATATTCCTTTTCATATGTGTTTTGAACGTTCTAACCATGCGTTCAACCTGGCCATTGGATTGCTGGTGATAAGCAGATGTAAGCACATGTTTAATACCAAAATTGTTGCAAAATTTTTCAAAATCGTTACTCGTAAAGTTAGTGCCGTTATCAGTAACTATAGTTTCAGGTATTCCATATAGCGAAATAGTTTTAAAGATTTCTTTTAAAGTAACATCAGTCGTAATATTTTTAACAGGAATAATAATTGGAAATTTGCTGTAGGCATCGACTATTATCAACCAATTTTTTGTGAAGAACGGACCCGCATAATCTATATGTATCCTTTCAAACGGTTTGGTTGCCGAAACCCATGGTTTTTGTATCTTTATAGGATTATCGTGATATATATTACAATCGTCACAACTTTTCACTTCCATAACGATATCATTATTTATACTAGGCCACCACATGTAATCTTTGGCTAAGGATTTGATTTTTCCTGCTCCCAAGTGACCTTCATGTAATGACTGTAGTATAGTTTTTCTCATAGAAGACGGAATTATGATTTTATTGCTTTTGTAAAGACAATCTTTAATTATACTTAATTCTAATTCAATGTTTTTATAAATATTATTCATTATAGGTCTGTTGTTATTAATATCATTTATGACTTGTTTTAATTCCGTATCTTTCAAAGTTTCATCACGAATTTGATCAAAGTTAATAGGTAAATCCTCATATTCACTTATAATGGTTACATTTTCAATAGTTTCATCACGACATTCTTGTGGTAATCTCGAAAGGCAATCAGGAACAACATTATATTTACCGGCTTTATACTTTATATTAAAATCATATCCTCCTAATGTAATATTCCACTTCTGGAGTCTTAACGACATGGTACTATTATCCTTAAGACCCTTGGTGAAGATGTGAACTAGAGGCTTATGGTCAGTAATAATTGTAAATTTTGTGCCGATTAAATATTCCTGAAATCTCTTTATGGCGAACATTATAGCGAGAGCCTCACGCTCAATATTGGTATAGTTCATTTCAGATTTTAATAAAGTTCTCGACGCGAAAGCTATAGGTTTTTCTTTACCATCTTTTTCAATATGAAATAGTACAGCTCCTAAACCACATTTTGATGCGTCAGTGGCTATCCCTATAGGTAATTCAGGGTTAAAATATGTCAAAGCAGGTGGAAGACTAATTAACTTCTTTAGATCATAAAAACTTTTAGAGTGTTCTAGATTCCAAGCCCATTTTTCTTTATTGACAATCTTATAAAGAGGATCGGCAATTTCCGCAAAATTGTTCAAAAATTTTCTATAGTAGCCAGCCATTCCCAGAAATGTTGATAATTCAGCAGCTGATTTTGGTTCTGGCATATTAATTATTGCTTCAATTTTGTCGTGATTAGCATGAATCCCCTTGGCGTCAATATCATGACCCAGGAACCTCACTTTGTTTTTAAAGAACACACTTTTATTAAAGTTAGGTATTAGCCCAAACGATGATATTCTATCAAACACTTTTTTTATGTTGTTTAGGTGGGCTTCATCGTTTTTTCCAGTTATAAGTAAATCATCAATATAAAATATAACGTCATCCATGTCCCCGAAGATTTGATCCATAATCTGTTGAAAAATTGCAGATGAGGTCTTAAGCCCAAAAGGAAGTCTAGTAAATTGGTAATATCCCTTATGCGTAGATATGGTTAAAATATTTCTGCAACTTTTATCAATTGGAATCTGTAAGAAAGCATTTTTAAAGTCAATCTTCGTAAATTTCTTTCCTTCCGAAAGTTTAGCAATTAGATCATTAATTCGTGGTAGAGGGTATCTAAAGTCTTCTAGAGCTGGGTTTACAGTATCCTTAAAATCAGCGCAAAGCCTAATGCTCCCATCTTCTTTATAGACAGCGGTAACAGGACTTGCCCATCGGACATCATTCACCGGCTCAATTATTTTATCATGT